GTTCACAATAGTATATTTTTCACCGCTGAGAAGCTTTGTTTACAAATCGAGCAAACTAAATAGTGTGCTTATACATATTTATGTAAATTTGTTCTAATTAAAATGAAGTAAAAAAGAAAGCAAGTTTATAAAAACGTGGTAAAATGAGTACAACGAGTTCTGGTTCAACGATTCGTCAGAGGATGAGAGCTTAGTAAACTGGCCAGGAGTAGCAAATGTTTAAGAGAGTTTAAGTTTATTAGTCTTTCGAATATATTTTGGGGAAAATTTTCCAAAACGGATCCAGGCTTTGAAAAAAAAAAAATATTAGGGAGTATAGAGGAGCTTTTTCAGATTCTAAATCTGAAGACCCCACCCTCCGGAGGCTTATAGTTTTAAAGTAATTCGCATTTAAAGTTACAAAAAATACCGAATTTAACCTCACCTTTTGCTTTGTACACCAATTGAATGAAATGTCAGTGCTGCCATACATATGAAAAAATGCCTCAAAAACACAAAACGGAAGCAATAAGAAATGCAGATAATGATCGCGCGATATTTAATAAAAAAATTTAATTATTTATTGGTCGATTTTTGATTAAAAAGTTGCATAATTTATCGAAGTATCGATTTTATAATAAAATGCGATGTTTTATTAAAAATGTTCATTATTCATCGAAGTATCGAGTTTTAGAATATAAAGCGCCGCAGGCGAAAATTTTTAATAAAAAATCGCGCGATTTTTAATTAAAAATTTTCATTATTTATGGAAGTATCGATTTTTAGAATATAAAGCGCCGCAGGCGAAAATTTTTAATAAAAAATCGCGCGATTTTTAATTAAAAATTTTCATTATTTATGGAAGTATCGATTTTTAGAATATAAAGCGGCGCAGGCGAAAATTTTTATTAAAAATCGCGCGATTTTTAATTAAAAATTTTCATTATTTATGGAAGTACCGATTTTTAGAATATAAAGCGCCGCAGGCGAAAATTTTTAATAAAAAATCGCGCGATTTTTTATTAAAAATTTTCGATATATATGGAACTATATTAATATATGGTTACTGGGTGTTTTACATAAAATCGCGCGATATGACCATTTTACGCACAACTCTTTTTTGTGTTGGCCGCGTTTTAATAAAATCCTTTAATAGTGGCGTATTTACTTTTAAAACGTATGGCAGCACATATTTGCTCTTACTGTCGGCCATTGTTATTTCTGTTTGTTTGTGAAAAGTGGTAAAACGTGAACACAAGTTTATAAACGCGTTTTACTTAATTAATTGGTGAATTATATATAATAAAAGCATAAAATACGCATGTGAGCATTGAAAATATAACATGTAACTCAAAATATAAGTGATAAGTGGCATATTTTAAAAAAATTAGGGGGTGATAGTGGACATTATTTAACAACAAATTGCTAAAATACTATTAGCAATTATATTGTGAGAGTGAACAATTCATGTTGAGGAGGCCTCCCCCAACATCCTCACCAAGTTTCATGACGAAATTCCTTATACTTTCGCTGAAATTTCGATTGGTTCCGTTTTGGAAAGCCCACCCATATTTTGATATAAAATATATTTAAGAAATTTGTCTACAGATTCATTAAAAAGTTCCGACCATCTAAAGAGGCGTTTGTGAGCCAAATCTATTTAAAATATTTTAAAACTATCAACAGCGCTACGATTTTGTTCTCAGAGATCGTGCCAACAGAGTATTGGGATTTTCTTTCACAAGTAAAACCAGCCTTTCGAGCTTGTGTTTAGTATTCAAGATGTTAGAACTGCATGAAATTAATAAAAATTGTTTAAAATTAATGTCTAGCCGCCAAAATGTAAGAAAACATATACAAAATCATACATTTTTCACAATTTTCTAACACTTCGCTACACCATCGAAAGCAAAATTCTGTTCGACAGAAAATTCGACACTCAACGAAAATTTCGACACGCTTGCATAGCTCATAATACGAATTCCACTTTCGATCTTCGATCTTCGATAGCCAGCGAAGATCGAAAATCGAATGCAGCTCATAATAAGGGCCTTTGAGTCGGAGATTACGGATCTGTACACCGTTTTTCTAGATCAGTTAATTTTTCCAAGTATTCGCATTGCGATTGAAAAAAAAATTAAACCGTAAGCTTAGTATCCAGCTCTAAATTTTCTTGTGTCAAATTGCCTTAAGGCAATATGCAGTTCTTAAAGATTTGCTACGCTTTCTTCTACGGTTTTCTAAAGTTTTTTTGTGATGCCCGTTCCATTATTTCCTTGGGCAGTACCACATATTTACATACACAAAATAATTACAATTTTTTTTCTTGACCGTTTTCTTGAGAGCTGTATACGCTTTAACATGGAAAATGTTATTCATACGCATTGTTCGATATGGCGTATGAGTAACATCACTTCCTCCTATTTTATAAAAAAAAATTATTGCATATTTTCATTTGACCGTTCCCAACTTGTTAATTTTTCCATCGATTGTGAAAATATCTTGGGAAAAATTACCTGATCTGGAAAAACGGTAAACGGATCCATAATCTACGACCCAATATTAAGTGTCTACGTTTTTCGACGTTTTTTGTGTCATTTCAAAACTTGAGATTTTCCCTACTGTGTTATCGCAAGTTTGACTTGAAAAAGAGATTCCCCTGCAAACCAAAGTTCCCGAAATCTTAAGGAAATCGTTAGGAGTATCTCATTTCTGTAACGATTTTTTACGAATTTTCAAAAAAAAATATATGAAGGGGTTGACACGAACTCGTAAAGAAATTTCTGTACGAAAAATAAAGAAAATTCTGGAAAAATTCTGAAAGATATTCTTTACATAGCAGCATTATTTTCGTTGCTTCACAGATTTTCTTCAGAAATTTCGTAAAAGAATGGAAGTGTGCGTAATTTATTTCATTTTAGAAAATTCGGCAAGAAATCGAATTAAATCTTAACGAATTCTTTAAAATTTCTTTACAATGCAGAATACTCTGAACAAATGGTTTGCAGGGTCGTTTTTCAATAATTTTGAAATGTTTATCCAAGCCAAATGTTTACTGAGTACTCATGCACATACATTTATATGTACATACATATCGTTACCTTAATAAAGAAAGGCCCTAACTCATATAAATAGTCGCTGAAATACAAAAAAGTAGTAACGAAATAAAATTTTGTATTGCTTAAAATGATGTGGGCACTTATACATAATTCGAGGAAATGCATCGTAATCATCAAAAAGGGAATATTTGGATTTTTACTTGGTTACAGCTTTTTGTATTTCAGCGACGATGTGAGGAGATAGCGCCTTTCTATATTAAGGTAACGATATGTTCCCGTTTATCAATATGTATGATCTTCCGCAGGTATTACAAATTAACTACCAAAGAGGAAAGCGATGTTGCGTTGATTCGTTTATTTGAATGCTTCATGGAAACAGCTCCACAGAAAATACTCCTAATGTCTATAATATTAACACAGAGTAATCAAATAACAGGTATGTACATATGTGTGTATCTACACTAACTATGTGACAGGGAAACTTAAAAGGGACCTACTGGTCGAAGAAAATTCGATTTTTTTCGATTTTTATTAGTACACTGGGAAAAAAAGTTTAGTTACATACGTCCGCTAAATATGTTACATAGTTTAATCATAGTTACCAAATCTTGTGTTAAGGGAAATATATTTAGCTGACTATTTTCTAATTGTAGGCACCTTTTAACTTTCCCTCTCGCGTAAACTTACTTAAATCCAAGTAATTTATTTATCTATCTGAGTATTTTTTTTTTTGATATTACTCAATAAGGAGTGGACTCCCTACAGTATAAATCAGAGTTCTAAACTTTATGCAAAAATAAAGAAAATTATGCAAATTTTCATCCAAATGTAGCACTTTTTATTTACACTCTTTAGGAAAAAGCTAAGTACGCAGTTTTTTAGCCCATTCAATTTTTGTATAACAGCACAGGCTAACCTAATATTCACGCACGCCGCCAATTTATTGTCAAAAATTTCTCATGCACATGCAACTTGTATGAGATCAACCGAAATTGAACGGCGTGCGTATGAAGCTAACTCAATTTCCAATTTTTGTTCTGCGTGACATTTTGATTTGACGTTTCGCTCAATGAAATCAAATGCAAACGCATGCAAGTCAATTTCGGGTGACGCAACAAAACAAATTCGACGGCATGCGTACCAAAACGCAAGCCGCGAATATTAGGTTAGCCTGTAATAAAGTGCAAGTTTGAGGTAGCTAGGACTTGCCATTGATTTTTAGAATTTTTTTTTTTTGAAGTTGTCGCTCACTTTCTCCATATAAAATAATGTTCGATAATATTTTTGCTGAATATTTGAATGAAATTTTGCAGAATTTTCTTACATACGTTTCTATGTATTTTGTCTTTTATGTATACTTAAAAAGGCAAGATGGAGCTTATTCTTTGAAAAAATCGATTTACTTAAATTTAATGTAAATCATCGGCTTGGGCTTCGCTAATCGGCCGGATATTAGATCAAAACCGAACGTTCGGCTCGGATTCGGCTTTGGCCGAAAAGTCTATCTTCGTTCGGACTCTAATACAGACGCAACCTACTGAAATTTTTACTTGAAACTTGGGGGACTTTTTCCTTTTATTAGAGTTTCGGGTGACGGAAATCATGCTGATATAGCTTTTGAGTTTTTGAATAATCACTTCTTAGGTCAACAAATAAAACTCAATATTATGTATTATCTTTGAGCGAAAAAATAAAAATCATAAAATAGTCATTATTTGACTAAGTAAATTAGAAAGACTTATGTAATTTCTAAGTTAACGCAAAGAAAATTGATAAAAGTTATTTTCTTAGCGTTACCGCGCATTAACAACCACAACCCAATCGATCTACTCAAAACTCCTTCGAGCCAGAATATCAACTTTATCTACAATTACATATGTACATCAGAGCCATTGATGCTAAGATATAATCCACACTTTTACATTACCGACACAGCCAATAGCTCTGTTGTTGTTGTTGTTGTTGTTGTAGCAGCATACAAGTTCCCCAAAGAGTTTTTGGGGAGTGTTGCTGGAGTGACAGTCCTTGGTCAAATACAAATCTGGGTCGTTCCGGTTCCGTAGACCCGACTGTCGTGGGAACGAGCCAATAGCCTTCGCAGCTAGGGCTGTAACTAACTATTAAATATTATAATTTATTATAAATTTAATTCAACAAATAGATTTTTTTTATTAGTGGCTATTTGTTTTCAAATTGTAAATTGTTCAATGTTACTTTATTAGATACACAAGTATGGAGTGTGCTGCTCTATTTAGCGAATGTACCCTGGACATTGGGCACTTACAATCGCTGCATACGTGCCGCCCAAACAATCAAAAATAAATTAAGTTATTGGCTAATGGCACCTCATCTATGTTGGCATTTTTGTATATCAGGTTAGTAAAAAATAATGGTAAAATTCTTATATAGTACATACATACATAAATAAATAAGAAAATAATTTGTTTATATTTTAGTTTCCCGTACACTTTGCATCACATTTATAGCAGTTTTATTTCCAATCTGGACGATAGTTGCTTGCGTTCAACACGCCGTAATAACGGGATTTGTCACTTACATCTTGGAACGTCCGCAATTTTGCGGCATCAATGCTTTTCATAATTTTCTCTTTTGCATAGCATTAGGATTTATTTACATATTTATTTACATTCCAGTTAAGGAGGCGCCCACAAGGTATAAGTATGCGCTATACTATGCAATTTGCTCAGTGGAGAACATCATATGCGTTGTATTGTTCATATATTATGCACCGAAAAGACTTTCGCAATCTAAAGCGCTTTTCTACACGCTTTGTACATTAGCTATTGGATTTTATTATGTAGGCATTTGCTGTATGTGCATTTACTATATACATTTTCACCCGAATGTGAAAGCTAGAAAGAATATGAATATTGATAGTTGAAGTAAATATTCTAAGTGGAGTTTGGGAATTACGTTTAGTGGCATCATAAGTTTGTTTCTGGCGACAGAACTTGCACTGACTACAATGTGTAGATAATATAGTATCTAATAAGTACAACATATGTATGTATGTATTATATATATTTTTGAATTGCCATTATTAAAAAAGATCTTATAAACTGCCTACTGAAATGTTACATGAAAAAGGTTGCTAGGAAATCAATTTATCTATTTATGCATACTATAGTACTTAATAGGGTTTTTAGGCGATACTTGCCACGCAAATTATATTTGAAAGCTTAAACTGAAGAAACATATAAGTCTTATTCTTCTTTATTAGCGCTGTAACTGTCAGCCGTTTCACTTCTGAGCCAACTGACGCCAATTGGAAATACCAAGTCCACCTGGTCTTTCCAACGCACCTTCTTCGCACGTNTGTGTAGATAATATAGTATCTAATAAGTACAACATATGTATGTATGTATTTTATATATTTTTGAATTGCCATTATTAAAAAAGATCTTATAAACTGCCTACTGAAATGTTAAATAACATAAGCGGATAAGGGAAGTTAACGAGTGCAAATCCACAAGAGCCTTCCCTTACTTGAAAAAGGTTGCTAGGAAATCAATTTATCTATTTATGCATACTATAGTATTTAACTGGGTTTTAGGGCGATACTTGCCACGAAAATTATATTTGAAACTATAAGCTGAAGAAAAATATCAGCCTTATTCTTCTTTATTAGCGCTGTAACTGTCAGCCGTTTCACTTCTGAGCCAACTGACGCCAATTGGAAATACCAAGTCCACCTGGTCTTACCAACGCAACTTCTTCGCACGACTTTCTTCGTCCCATTTAAAAAACTAAAAAAATACTGGTTTTATAAATACTGTAAAATTTAGCATGCTGCATACTTGAAGTTAAAGATAATGCTCAGTAAATTCTAATAATAATAATAATAATAATAATATCCCAACGGCTTTTACCCTCCNTAGCGCTGTAACTGTCAGCCGTTTCACTTCTGAGCCAACTGACGCCAATTGGAAATACCAAGTCCACCTGGTCTTACCAACGCAACTTCTTCGCACGACTTTCTTCGTCCCATTTAAAAAACTAAAAAAATACTGGTTTTATAAATACTGTAAAATTTAGCATGCTGCATACTTGAAGTTAAAGATAATGCTCAGTAAATTATAATACAAATTGTTTGTGCTTTAAAGAAAGCTATCTCTGGAGACATTGTTCTGGCGAAAAGTGCACAAATATAGCCCCACACATGTCGCAATTACNCGAGTCACGATAGGCAGGAGTTTGTTAAGTGTCGAGATCTAAAACTGTTTGTGCTTTAAAGAAAGCTATTTCTGGAGACATTGTTCTGGCGAAAAGCGCACAAATATAGCCCCACACATGTCGCAATTATAACTCTAAAAATATTTTAATTTAATGTATTTATGCTTTTTACTCAACGGCATTTCAAATAGTTAACAATTCAGTTGTGATCTCGTAATAGTAAAAATATTGCAATTTATTGCAAGTTGATGCAAAGACCCGAAGCAGTCGTCAAGCGTGTATTAATTCAATTATAGTTGTTCGCTTCAATTATCACTGATCTTCAGCATTAGCAATTAATACAGCAGCTTGCGTTCCTTCATCTGCACCTAAGGAATTTCGCTGTTGTTCAACAACGTTTGCTTGTTCCAGATCTGGTTTCTCAATCTGTTGTTGCTGTTCGAGTTTGCGCTTTTTCTTTGCCTGTATATCGGCTAAGGTTTGCTCTATTGACCGCATATCCTTCTTATTTTTACTTGGAACAAAACCATAACTCTTATTAGTCTCCGTTTTGCGTGCAGCCTCCAAGGCAGCTTCTTGCCCAATAAGATGGGCATATTTGTCTTTATAGTTGCTCGTTGGCTTTATGTCAGACTCACTGGTAGTTGGTTGTTGGTTGGAAGCACGTGCCAGTCTCTTCTGTTCACTTTCTAATTCACGTTGTTGCTTTCGCCTCTCAGCGTATTCTTTGGCCACTTCTTCATTCCATCCGTCACCATTTCGACGTGCAGCTATTTCATCCTCTGATGGTGCATTTTCCTTTTTATAGACAACCGAGTGCCGATCGATATCCTCCCGACCAAAGCTCATGGCAATAAAGCCACCAAATTCCGCTACCTCATGTATAATGGCACGATGCACCTTGTCCAGCGGCTGAAACTCAATATGCGGGCGATCATCCTTGGCAAAGCGCCCAATGCGATCCTCCACATATTTACGAAATCGATTTAGCTCTTCTTTTTGTTTGTTTTTTATGTGTTCAGCAAGCTCTTTTTGTTTCTTTATTAACTTTTTTTGTTGCTCTGTGGCTGCCGGAGGTTTTTCCATTGAATTGAGTATTGAATTCAGCAAATCCATGGCGGGTTTCGGCGACTTTTATATTTTAACAATAAACAAATTGCAACAGTCGGAGACACAACGAACGCAATTTAAGCAGCAAGGTAAAATTTTAAAAGTTTTGCTGCTTATTAGAGGTTCTTTTGTTTTTTCTATTGTCCAACGTTACCCAGCTGTTTAATTTTTCGTCTCTTTTCTATTCCTTCCTAGTACCTTCGTATCTGTTTTGCTCCGTTCGTTCTGTTCTGTCAAAAAAGTCCCTTAACTGCTCGCGGTAGTAAATTTTTGGACCCAACCGATTAGGATATCGTGTGTGAAGAAACAAAGAAAAACAGGTCTGTTCGATTAGGACGCTGTTACGCAGCCTACTACAGAGAACGTTAAATACAGAGAAGCAGCATTAGCACAATGGACGAGGTAAGAATGAAACGAAAGACTGGGTTCACACAGCGAATTTTTGCTGCTCATTTTCGGCAACTTCTCATTTGGTGTTGCCCTTGGCGTTCACACAGAGCAATTCTTTTGTACACAATTGTTGTTGCCAGCTGTGAACGGCCAACTAGAATTACTCAGACGAACGAGAGCACAAAGCGTGTTGCTCGAGCACGAGCAACTCCATGAACGAAAGACACAAGATCACGCGGGAAGGAAAGAACGAAAAAAGTTATTTTCTAGCTGCCAAAATCTCGACGCCATCTTTGTTGTAAGAAGTAAACAACGAAAAGATCGGAGAAAACCGCGAAATTGTTGAACGCATGAAAAATCATTTTTATTATGCAAATTCTTCTATAAATCGTGCCGTTGTGTTAAATTATTCGTTATCTTATGTGTACACACGTTGTCACAAGCGAAAATGAAGAAAATTGCAGTAAAAAGCCACCACCAAATTGTAAACAACGAAGAAATGTAAATAAACGGCTAATGTCAAAATCGTTCAACTTTTTTCCTTAATGTGATTCTAACGGGCTACTCTCCTGCCCGCGTGATCTTGTCTTTTTGGTTCATGACAAGCACCACTATTTTACATTTTTATTCAAGTAAAGAAGAGTTAATTCAACATGACAACACATTTTAAAGCATTTTGTTGCATCATTTTACCTAAATAGTGCGTTTAAAGTGGCTGAAAATAATTTTGGCTAATTTTGGTTTTTGTTGTTTTCTTTGCTTTGTTTACTTTTCGCTCGTTTTCCAGTGAAACAAGATGGCGTAGAACCCGCTAAAAAAATCGACTTTTTTCACTCTCTTGTTCTTACGTGATCTTGTGTCTTTCGTTCATGACTTGAACTGTGTAAAAGCAGTCTTTGACTGGGTTCACACAGCGAATTTTTGCTGCTTATTTTCGGCAACTTCTCATTTGGTGTTGCCCTTGGCGTTCACACAGAGCAATTCTTTTGTACACAATTGTTGTTGCCAGCTGTGAACGGCCAACTAGAATTACTCAGACGAACGAGAGCACAAAGCGTGTTGCCCGAGCACGAGCAACTCGGTGCCCTTCCCCCTTGCTCGTCACTCCCTCTCCCACAAGTAACGAGTTGCCACGATAAAAGTTTCTCTGTCTGAACCTAGACTAACTAGCCAGATAAGTTAAATAATAAACCATATTGTGCAATTATTTACCAATGAGCGTTCATGAAAGAATGCGTATAAACTGATAAATTTAAGCTATTTCTCCCTTTATCACTTTCGATGAAGACCCCTAAAGCAATTCCAATTCGTACTGTCGTCAAGTATATAACCTGATAATGGAGATCGCTGCATCTTTTAGGCGCATCAATATTACATAGTTACATCCCAAGCTAATAAAAGCGAGGTAAACATGATTTTTTTCTGTTAGTTTTAACATTAAATTCCAAAAAAAAAAATCGTTTTTCACTTAAAAGTGTAAACAGAACCAAATTGATGGTATTAGTTAATTGGTAATTTTTAATAAACCTTACGTAATCATAGTAATCTCATCTATGTAGATTTTAAGAATATTTAGGAATAAAAGTATTTATATATGTATGAAAATACAAAAAGCGTTTATTGATTACGCAAGCGCGTCAGTTCTTTGGCTTTCTCCATATAGCGACGTGGTCGTAGATATTCTAAAAATAATAGCAGTATATGGGCCATAGATATAACCAAAAGGAATGGCCATACTTTGCTGCGCAGGTAACCCCAAAGTAGAGCACCTAGCGATTTTTCAGGTTCGACCAAAATACGCGCATATACCCTTTCTGTCCTTTGCGTAACATTCTCCCAGTTGTACAGTGTAGAAACAATCTCATTACATTTATATGGGCAAAGCACAGCTTCCATGTCTTCAATACCCTTAAAAGCTCCGGTATTCTTTGCGTGTTTTACCTTATGCACACCTGAGTTTACATGTCGTGATTTTGTCAGTGTCGCACTTTTTTGTTCGTGAGCTGTTTTCATAGCACCATACCCCACAACATGAACACCGCCATTGACACTAGTCCCAAGTAAGGTCGGTCGTTGGTTATTAAAAAAGCACCTATACCGGTTAATTGCTTTGAGTACGCCCTGATAAACGGAATCGATTTCAGGTTCCGTCAGAATTATTAAATTCGAAGGTAATACTTCAGGTATACCACCCACGCGGGTAGATACGACTTGCAGGCCACATGCAGCTGCTTCTACTATAGCCATGCAGTACGCTTCAGTGAGTGAGGTGTTTACAAAAATGTGCCCACGTACAAGGATGTCGCGAACTTGGGAATGTTCAACGGCCCCTATTAATTCAACGCGATCTTGCATGTTTACCTTTTCACGTACTTCTTCAAGTAGATCACGTTTTGGCCCATCACCAACTATAATAAAATTTATTTTGGGCGTATGCCTAAAACGAGGAATTACGCCAGCAAGTAAATCAATGCCTTTTCGATAGACTAGGCGTGAGGCGACCACAATGTTAACTGTAGCGAGAAAGAAACATGTGTTAATTCTATGTAAGTTTGATTAATATGGCAAATCATTACTTGTGCCGTCCACAGGTCGTTTACTTGGATCTGGTGTAAATAGGGCAGTGTCAACAGCATTTGGAATGACGGAAACTTTTTCTTTTGGTATGCGTGCTCGTAATACAGTGTTTTCTTTACCTGTTTAAATTTAATTCATATAGATTACTATAAAGTCAGACACTAACTAATCTACTCACCAATGTGAGAGACGCAGATGCAGTGGTTTACATTAGCCAAATTTATCTCCAGCATTTTGTTAGTGAAAACCGCTGACAAATCAGCAAACCCAAAAAGACTGTGATCCGTAAAAACAGTCTGTTTAAAAAAAATGCAATCAATTTATTAGTTGCATACTTTGAAGTTTTCTATCAAATCACCCTCAGGCCCAGCATATTGCCAATAATCATGGCTTCATGTGCCAGCGTGCTAAATGCCGAGTGTCCGTGCACTACCTCAATGCATTCCCGCAACAGTACGCATCGTATAAGTGGTATTTGACATAAAATTGTGGGCAGTATACACTGATTGTAGAACGGTTTAATTGGTAAATAATATACTTTTAATCCATTGGTTAAGTAACGAATACCTCTACAATCACCATAGCAGTGTGTTAACACAATGACCTGGTTATAGAATAATAAACAATTGAAGGCGAAGTTTTTAATATGAAACCACACAATTTTAATGACTCACTTTATGTCCGTGGCTTAATAGGATCTGTGATAAATTGAAAACGTGTTCTTCTACTCCACCTATACTTGGATAAAAAAAATCTGTGACCATACTGTAAGAGAGGATAATTATAATTTAGTTTAAAATTTTCAAAACACGTTTAATACCATATTCGCATTTTCTCAAAAATAAAAACAAGAATGCATTTGTTTGCGTGTGATTACTGAAGAAACTTGCGATCAGCTGTTCCCTTCATTGATAGCATTTCTCAAAGTAAACAAAATGATTGGCATTTGTTTAAGCTGGGTTCACACAAAGAAACTTTTGTTGTCCATTTTCGGCAACTTCTCTTTTGGTGTTGCCCTTCGCGTTCACACAGAGCAATTCTTTTATACACAATTGTTGTTGTCAGCTGTGATTGGCTAACTAGAATTACTTAGACGAACATAAAGAGCACAAAGCGTGATGCTCGAGCACGAGCAACTCGGTTCCCTTCCCCCTTCCTCGTCACTACCTCTCTGGCAAGTCACGAGTTGCCGCGACCAAAGTTTCTCTGTCTGAACCTACACTTACGAACATCGATAACTGTAAAAATTGGCAAAACCAAAGTGGCGGTTTGCGGAATGGGCCTCCTTCTGTTCGCTACATCGTGGTGAAAAACGAAAGAAAAGTAAACAAAGCAAAGAAAACAACGAAAACCCAACTTGACCAAAATTATTGCACGTTCTTTGTTAGTACAGTTGGTAAATGCAAAAGGCTGTAAGCACTGCAATTCTTCCAGATAACCACAAAATTTTGCTTCATGAACGCCCTATTCTTTTTGATAAGAATGTAAAAAAAGAGTTAGCACTACTTTTGGCTGTATGTTTGTCCTTCGTTACATTTCAATCAACTCCTCTGCAATGCATCACTAATATGAATGAAACAGCGCTTTATCAAAATATTAACATCGCTTTAAACCCGGAGGGAGTANTTCTGTAACGCAAATAACATCCTGGGGTACTTTTCCATCGTTGCATTGGCAAACCTGTCGTCGACGATACTCGGTTCGCTTGGCAGTCATTTTGCACTCGCACAATCCATACTACTCGTTCAACACAGAATTTTTCTAAGTTCCATTTTGTGTGGCGAGGCGAGACTTTGAAAAATTTTCACAGCACTTTTGCCTTTGCCGTGTGCCTCGTTGGTTTTTACCTTGCGTTTCGTGTTAAGTAGCTGAAGGAATAAATAATTTTTAGCTGCTAATCGAAGCAAAGAAGTGTGTGCGTGGAATCTTCCTAATTTTCTTGTGAGTTTTCGTCACCCAGACCGAAAAAATGAGCGTGGATGTGGCACCCGAAAATGTAAGTAGCAATTGTGTTAACGGTGCATTTTTTATGTAATTTTCAGGTATTTCAATATATTACTAGCCATATTAGAAGAATTTCTTCTGAAAGTAATGAAAAAATGTTAATGGGATCACTAGAATTTCATCGTGCAAATAAATTAAATAAGTCGGCATTATATTGCATATATCTTTTGTGTGCTGCCTTTGTATTGCTAGGTTTGAGCAGTAATTGCCTGTCTGAGTGGTTCGTCGGCCCCAACGCGATCGCCTTGAAATAAAACGTCAAGTTTTTCATGAAAATGGCGACAAGTCCCCAACAGCACACATTGGGCAGAAACCATGCAACGGGCAAAATCAGCAAAACACTCACAAAGATATGTATTTGCTTATTTAGCGTAGTATGTGTCAAAGTAGCAACTACGCAAAAGTGCAACGAAAAATTTGATTCCTGCTAATGCCCATCCTTGTTAGATCTGGGTCTCATTTGCTTCATGTTGAAAGTCTTAGTTGCGGCAATGGGTTAGCCCGTTTATAAGTTCAGTTCCAGCATACAATTTGCCGTATGCTGTGCTGCTGGTGTAGCTTTCTGGCTGGTGGTTACATAGGGAAAGTCAAAGACAGAGGTAGAGCAACAACTACAGGCAATAAGTACAAGTAATGGCGAATGCGAGTCGGCTGATATAGCGAGCGAATGAGCCGTACGTTTGTATGAACATATCGCACACCGTCTTCAAAAGAGTCGCAACTCAAAATTTTGAATTTTTGAAATTATGCGCTAAAAATGTACACCTTTTTCCTTTCAACAAAAGTTTGGAGCAAACTTTTTTTTTTATAATTTGTTAAAAAATAACCCAAGGTAAAGTCGCCTTTCCTCATATGATTAGTATGTGCTACGAAATAGCTTTTCGCATTTTCTGACGAACGTATTATTTTGAGTTGTGACTCTTTTGAAGACGGTGTGCGATATGTACATGCATCGTCGTTGTGGAGTCTACAATGTAGACGTTGCCTTCGTTGCTTGGTGGTGGCGTAAAATTTTTCAAAGTGTTTTCTGGAACATCATAATATCGAGTGGTGGATCAATCAACTGACTGACTTAAACTTATAAACGACTACACATTTTTTTTTTTTTAGCAAGGGATAAAGGAAAAGTGGTGGTTGAGGAAATTTTAGGAAACTTGGTGGGTCTACGAAGAGTTAAAAGGTAATTGTTATTGTTAAGTTTACATTCAAGAATGGGCAATGTATAAGTAGTATGTATGTTAGTGTGTATGTATTTATACATAGAGAGTAGGTACATTTTGAGTTTCAAAATTGTCTGGACTTGTCAATTTTTAGTGCAGTAATATAGGGCTAGTCAATTTATTAGCATTGACGATTTTTAGTGCAGTAGGGAGTAATTAGGAAACATTTTTATTCGGATAAGAAGGAAATTAATGAATGAATTTCATAATATAAGAATCGTGTATCTATTGTATTTTTTATGTATTTCAAAACACTTACATACATAAAAGAGGGATTTTTTTATTAATATATAAAAAGAGCTTGTCTTATATGTAATCTCTTATATTTACTTTAACTACTCTACAAACCATTTTTTCAGAGTATTAACTGTAGAGAAATTTTAAATTAATTCGTAAAGATCTCATTCGACTTTTGCCGAATTCTCTAAAATGAAATAAACTGTGCTGTGCACACTTCGATTCTCTTATGAAATTTCGTAAGAAAATCGGTAAAGCAATGGAAATAAAGCTGCTATGTGAAGAATTTCTTGCAGATTTTTTCAGAACTTTCTTCATTTTTTTTCAGAGTATTGTGAACAGTAGAGAAATTTTAAAGAAATTGTAGAGATCTCATTAGATTTTTGCCGAATTCTCTTAAATGAAATAAACTTTGCACACTTCGATTCTTTTATGAAATTTCGGAAGAAAATCGGTAAAGCAATGAAAATAATGCTGCTATGTGAACAATTTCTTGCGCTTTTTCGGAATTTTCTATTTTTTCGTACAGAAATTTCGTAACGAGTTAGTGTCAACCATTTCACGCAATTTTTTTTGAAGATTCCTAAAAAATTGTTACAGAAATGAGAAACTTCTAAAGATTTCGTTAAGATTTCGGGAATTTTGGTTTGCAGGGTAACCTTAAAATACAATAAAAAAGTTTACATAGTTAAAAAACACTTAAAAAGGTAAAAAATATCATTGGTGACAGTTCAGTCGGCTGATATTAGAAATTAATTTTTTTGAAGTAAGTTGAAGTCAGTAGCAGCTTTTTTTTTGGCAGATTGCATATTGAAAATTAGTTCAAAGAGCTGCTACAAATTTAAGGACGACTTTATTTTGGCTGTATATGCGCCTATTTCCTCGGTTAATCTAAAAAGACGTAACAACATTCTAAATGAAATGGAAAAAGTCGTGACTAATATTATAGTATTTTTTTCATAAAATGATGTGGGGAGTTGTAAGTCGATGATTTCTTAGAATTTCTGTCGTCGAAGGTGTTGTGGGTTTCTTCCATATAAAAATAAATTGTGTTTATTCGTTATATGGAAGCAAATGCTACAAAAAATCAACGCTAATTTTCAGTCACTTGAAACTTGCACATTATTAGACTAAAATTGAATGGGCTATAAAACTATATAATCAAATAGTTCTAGCGCTTCAGTGCAAAAAAATTGGGAATTGGGGTGAAAATTTGTTGAATTTTTTGTAGTCTTTAAAAAGGTTTTAATCTTTCGTTTATGAGAGTTTTGTTAGAGAGTATTTTAGTTGAAAATTCTTAAAAATATACATATAATTGAACATAAGTGGCAAACTATATCACTTTGAAGTGCGGGTGCTATAGATATGTCCAATACTGTATGTGGGCACTACTATTCTTATACATATTGGTGTTAAACAGTTAAATGAAATTGAATCGATTATAAGTCTTTTAAATTTTATTGAACCCCACATCAAATTACTACAAATCAATGGCACTACAATATAAATATGAATAAAAACTTTTACTGGAAATAGTATAGATACATTAAATTTTATTGTCAAGAATGAAATTGTGTCACTGTTATTAAATATTGCTTTATAGTTCGATATTGAGTCTGAAAGCTGTATGCGCATCTATGGGGTAGCATCCAATTTCGACCGGAATTAATTTTTGTATAAGTGTATGTTTAAACCCCTGTTTCACAACGACGCGTTGTAATAGCAGGAAGCAAAGTTAAGATAGACAAAGATAGATAAGACACTCAAATGTGTTTTTCAATGTCGAAGAACTCTGCAGATCTACGAATGCTTTGTAAATGCATTTTGTACCCAATCAATATTACTACTGCCATCCGAAAAATAATCCCGCAAAGATCTCAGGAGATTTACCAAGTGCCCAGTTATGACATTTCACATTTAGTTTGGCAATTCATCGCGTTTCTTGTAGAAAACTGTATGAAACTGGGAAACATTTCTACACAGGTAATCCAGCAACTAAATTTTCTTTTAAGAGAAAAAAACCAAGGTGAAAAGCGCCACACTCAACGCTATCATGTAGGTATGGTCCTGCTGTTTATAGAACTTTCCTTCGTGTGTGCAGTTCAAACCGACTACCGACCGCGGCGCTTATTCATACCGAATTTTAAAAGCCAAAAATTAATAATTTCACGGAACCCTGGTGACTTTTCTACGGAACGCTTGGGTTCCGCGGAACCCACTTTATGAAGCTCTGATATAGGACCAAAATTTATTGATTCACTAAGACTTTGAATTCAAGATCAAACGAGTTTAAATATTCTGCTATTGTTCTATTCTCTCTTTAGGCCGATTAAATACAAAAAGGGGCAAACAAAAAGTTTGTGGTCTTAACCTTCTCGTCTTTTATAAACTAGTGTT